TTTGTGAGTTGTATGGCTTCTTGATACGTTGATTTGATCCGGTACCGAAATCATACATGTAACCCGTTGATTCCAATTTTTAATTACAAATTTGTAAGGTATGTTATGTACTCATTTCTGGTTTAACTATGAATCAGTTAGTGTTCATTAGACGTATTAAGGATCAGTGAGTCGTTATGGTTTTGTTAACTCTATACGTGATATGTTCCGTAAAATTTGAAAGCTAGAGATTAATCGGTTTTGCCTCCTAATTCTTTTGTTAAGATATGTATATTGCATCTAATTTTATGCTTTGATATATACTCACTAAGCGATTCGCTTACTCCCTTAAGTTTAAAAATCTCAGGAAAAATCGATACGGATCGAGATAAAGGCAAGATGGGTTAGCTTTCGCTTGACACATAGAGGATTTGGAAGTAACTTTTGGTACATGTTTCGTATATTTTTGATGTTTCGGGTTTGTAATTATTACTCGTATGTTGGGTAGTTATACTATTGTCCCGACTTTTGGTTTGTAAAAGTCTTAGTTTGTAAGTTGTTTAAACTATTTTCGTGGGATGTTTGACTTACCGGTCAAACTAAACTTAACTTTTGGTGGATAATTAGAAATCATATCCCGTCTTGGATTCGGGTGAACTTCTTTTTTTTATCGGTTAAATATTCTTGACAATTTGTATTTTTATTTTAGTGTAATGAATCGATGTTACAATTATGGTATCAGAGCTGTAGTTTAAGCGATCTGAATATCAGAAATGATATTTAGACTTAAACCTAGGCATTGAGATCGTATAGTATGTAGGCAATGATTTATACGGGATACAAACCTGTAGGAGAGACCTAAGTTGGGTTGGGACCAAGGGTAGGATTGTGTTTAACATATATGTGCTGTTTTTTCAGCAAAAATGTCGGAGCATGATGAGCAAAGTCAAACACAAAATGTTGGGGAAAACAACCCCACTTTGAATATAAATGCTCCAGAAGGTGCCGAGAACGATGAAAATCCCGCTTTGTCCCCTCGTACAGAACGAATATTGAGAGTTTTGGATGATCGATTGACAATGGCTCTGGAACGACAGCGTCAAGAAATGGAGCGACGATTTGAGGAAGAACGTAATCAACACAATCCCCTAGAACCCGACAATCGTGGTAAGCATCCAAACAAAGTCGGAGATGCACTGAAACCTAAGTCCGACCGGGTTTCATTTAAAACTTTCAGAAGCTGTGGTGCTACAGAATATGCGGGGCAATCAGATCCTGAATTGGCGATGCAATGGATCCAGAACACAAAAAAGGTGTTCCGAATTACCGAGGTACTAGATAGCGGAAAGTAAAATATGCCTCTGCGATGTTCATAGAGCGAGCCCTAGTGTGGTGGAATGCCACGTATGAGTCTTTAGATGCGACGACACGTAACAGTTTGACATGGGACGAATTTCAGAAAAAGTTCTTTGAACAATATTGCCCTGTTGACCTACAAAGGCGTCTTGAAAAGGAGTTCTTGGATCTGAAGCAAGTTAAGATGACTATACTTGACTATGAAACTGAATTCAACAAGAAGGCACGATTCGCACAACAATTCCTGATATCCGAACAGGATAAGATCGAACATTTCATTGGAGGACTACGGAAGGAGTTTCGAAGTTTTGTGGTAAGTCGTGATGTTTCCAGTTTTAGCAAGATAGTTGAATACGCTTGGCGTTATGAGTATGAATTATCCATTCCTGATGATAATGAACCGATGTCGAAACGTCCGCAAACTGAGAGGATGATGTCTACCCCAACACAGCGGTTCTCTCGATTTTCCAACCAGAGGAAAATTCAATCTCAGAGTACCCCACGCGCAACATCTCAGGCATTTAGCCTTCAATCGAGCACACCAAGAGATTGTCGAAGGTGCGGAAAGACACACCAAGGCTGGTGTGATACGGATACATCTGTCATTAAATGCTTTTGTTGCGGTGAAGTGGGTCACGTTAGGATGAATTGTCCCCAGAGAGGTCGTGCATGCTTTTCCTGCGGAGTGTTAGGGCATCGTATTAAAGATTGTCCCCGTATAAAAAAAGATGAAAGCAAATCCTCGGTACAACAACCAACGAGAGTGGGTACTTCAGCCCAAAAGGAGGAGGTGCCTAGGGCACGAGCCAGGGCTTTTCAAATCACAGCAGAGGAGGCATTGAAGGAACCGGACGTCGTAACTGGTATTTTCCTTCTCAATGATAGACCTGGATGTATTTTATTTGACTCGGGAGCCACGAATTCTTTTGTATCACTTTATTATACTCAGTACCTCGATTCCGTGACAATCATGCTTGAAAAACCTTTCAATGTCGACACTGCGAACGGAGTAACACTCGTAGCTGATAAAGTTTATAAAGACTGTAAATTAGACTTAGATGACCATGAGTTCACGGTCGATTTGATTCTCATGGATATTCGTAACTTTGATGTGGTAATTGGTATGGATTGGTTGACGAAGAACCGAGCAGATATCATTTGCTCACGGCGAATGATACAGATTCCGATGGAAAATGGAGAATTCTTATATGTCTACGGTGAACGACGAGTGATCGAGTTTTAGGTAATCTCTGTACTCAAGGCTCGACATTATTTAACTAAAGGATACTCGTCTTTCTTAGCATATGTCCTAGATTCAACAAAGGAGATGAAGAAGAAGACTGTGGACAATGTACCAATAGTACGTGAATACCCGGACGTATTTCCTAAAGACTTGCCAGGATTGCCACCAGATAGACAAGTGGAGTTTAGAATCGACTTGATACCGGATGCTGCACCGGTAGCGAAGACTCTTTATCGTCTAGCGCCTCCAGAAATGATAGAAATGATGGATCAACTACAAGAGCTATTGGATAAAGGTTTCATACGATCGAGCACTTCACCATGGGGTGCTCCGGTATTGTTTGTCAAGAAGAAAGACGGGTCTTTCCGGATGTGCATCGATTATCGTGAGTTGAATAATGTAACAATTAAGAATAAGTATTCGTTACCCCGTATTGATGATTTGTTTGATCAGCTTCAAGGTGCAAGGTTCTTCTCCAAGATTGATCTCAGATCAGGTTATCACCAGCTAAAGGTACGGGATGAGGATGTACCTAAGACTGCTTTCCGTACGAGATATGTGCATTATGAATTTCTGGTGATGCCTTTCGGTCTCACAAATGCCCCAGTTGCGTTTATGGACTTAATGAATCGAGTGTGTTGTCTGATGCTCAATAAGTCTGTAATTGTATTCATTGATGACAATCTTGTGTACTCGAAGTCTGAGACCGACCACACAACACACCTTTGACAGATGTTGGAGTTGTTGAGAAAAGAAGGACTCTATGCTAAATTTTCAAAATGTGAATTTTGGTTGCGTCAGGTACAATTCTTGGGACATACCGTGTCCGGCGACGGTATCTCTGTGGATCCTGCCAAGATTGAAGCAGTGCAAAAATGGGAGCAACCCAAGAATGCCTCAGAGATTCGGAGTTTTCTCGGCCTAGCGGGATATTACCGACATTTCATTCAGGATTTCTCTAAGATCTCTGTTCCTCTCACTTCTCTTACCCGCAAAGATGCAAAATTTGTGTGGACCAAAGATCAAGAAAAGGCATTTCATATTTTGAAAGATTGCTTGACACACGCACCAATTCTTTCTTTACCTGAAGGTGCTGAGGATTTTGTAGTTTATAGTGATGCCTCACGATTAGGACTTGGTTGTGTATTGATGTAGAAAGGAAAGGTCATCGCTTATGCGTCACGTCAATTGAAAGAATACGAAAAGAATTACCCCACTCATGATCTTGAGTTGGCAGCGGTGGTCTTTGCACTTAAATTATACAAAATGCCAACTCTACACCGATCATAAAAGTCTAAAATACTTGTTCGATCAACAGACTTTGAATATGCGTCAGCAGTGTGCTATGGAGCTCATTAAGGATTACGACTGTGAGATACTCTACCATCCGGGTAAAGCCAACGTAGTGGCGGATGCTTTAAGCCGTAAAGCATACGCGAATTCTATATGTTATGCTATCACTCATATGTCTATGAAAACCAATCTGTTTGATGATATACGAAAATGGCAGCACGAGGCTTTGAAGCCTGAGCATGTCAAATCGGAACAGATGGTGGGTTATGTCGACTCTTTATCTGAAGACTCTCGTAGTTTGAAAGTCTTTAAAACCCGAATCTGGGTCCCTAGATTTGGTGGTTCACGAGATACTGTATTGGCTGAGGCGCATAAATCGGGAATGTCTATCCATCCAGGGAGCACTAAGATGTACTACGATCTTCGTACTTATTATTGGTGGCCGGGGATGAAAACCAATATTGCACATTATGTTGAGCAGTGTATTACCTGTATGAAAGTGAAGGCTGAGCATCAAAAGCCATACGGGAGTTTACAACCTCTTGAGGTTCCCGTGTGGAAATGGGAGGAGTTAACAATGGACCTAGTTACGAAGTTGCCAAAGACTCAACGACAACATGATAGTATCTGGGTCACTGTGGACCGGTTGATGAAATCTGTGCATTTTCTTCCCGTTCTGGAATCGTATCTGATGGATAAGTGGGCGCGACTTTATGTTGATGAAATTATCGCTTGACATGGTGTACCGACTAAAATCATCTTTGATCGTGATTCGCGTTTCACGTCTAAATTCTGGTTGGGGTTACAACGAGAACTTGGGACGCAGTTGGCCTTAAGCACCGCGTATCACTCTCAAACTGATGGGCAATCTGAGCGCACAATTCAGACATTAGAGGATATGCTTCGTGCCTGTATTTTAGAGTTCGGTGGTAGCTGGGATACTCATCTGCCATTAATTGAATTTTCTTACAACAGCTACCATTCGATGATTGGAATGGCACTGTTTGAGGCCCTGTACGGCCGTAAGTGTCGTACGCCTCTATATTGGAGAGAAACCGGGGAAAATATACTTGCTGGACCCGAACTTGTACAAATCACACATGACAAAATAGAGGTGATTTGAGAGAGAATGAAAGCGACTCAGGACCGACAAAAGTCATACGCTGATCGCCGTAGAAGACCGATCGAGTTCTCAGTCGAAGATTTGGTCATGTTGAAGGTTTCCCCGTGGCGTGGAGTATTACGGTTTAGAAATAAAGGTAAACTCAATCCTCGCTTCATCGGTCCATTCAAGATTATTAAACGCGTCAGGAAACAAGCTTACCATTTAGAACTACCCAAAGAACTAGCAGGTATACATGATGTTTTCCATGTCGGTTATCTACGTAAATGTTTGGGCAAACATGAGGACGTTGTACCATTATCGAAAGTTAAGATAAATGAAAAACTTCAATATGCCAAAGAATCCGAAAGTAATTTGAAAGAGCGGACAGTGAATTCACGAGACAAAGATGTAGATTTGGTATTAGTGAAGTGGAAACATCATCGCGGACCAAATTGGACGTGGGAATGCAAAGAGATGATGGCTAAGTACCCTTCATTAATTCCGCAACCATGATTTCGGGGACGAAATCTTCAAAAGGGGGAGGTATTTGTAACATCCAACTTACTAAAAGTCCATTTATGTTGCTAAACATGTTTAACTAAGTCAATAAAGTATATTATGGGTTTGTGCTTACTTATGTTAGTTGAAAAGTAAAAATGATAAAAGTGCACAAAAAAAATGTGTCTAAGTGTGCACTATAAGGCCATATAGGGGAACTCATGTTCTTGTAGTAAATAAGTGAAAAATATCAAAATTAGACTGGAATATGGACTTCTGGATCGAATTAGAGGCTGAAATTTTATACTTAAGCTTTTTATAGATTAATTAAGAGATTTGGAAAGTTTCGTGCGAAACAGAGTTGAAACGACCAAGATACGTATGAGGGACTAAATCTGCCAACAGTGGCAAACTAGGTTGACTTTTTGACCAAAATAGGTCAAAACCGGGTTTCGCACTCAAAAATGGTTATTTTCACCTCTAGAACTTTCACACACAATCAAAGGTGCGATTTTCACACACTTGGGCTTAAATCTTTCAATTCTTGATGATTAATGTTAGATTTTAGAAGAATATGTGATAAATATCAAAGGTATGCTTCTAATTTCAAGTTTATTCCATGTAGTTAGTAATAATAAAAAAGGTTAGGGTTTGCATTTGAAAGATTATAACAAGATGATGATAGATTAAGGTTGTTTGATGATGATTATAGTTTAATCATGAAAGAATCTTGAAATAATTGCATGCATTAGTATGAAAGCTATGAGATTAAGCATTGTTAGTGATGTTAATGATGATTAATGTGGGAAATCGTGTTTATATGCTAAGTAATGATAGAATTTCTGAAGTTTTGTCAAGAATATGTAATATATGGGATGAAAACCAGAAGATGGTATTGAAATACAAGAGAATTGGGCATTATAATGGATTATATGGGTGTATTGGTATTGAAAGAGTATGGTTACAGCTCTGATTTTGAAAATTTGTAGAAAATTGAAAAAACATCGTATGAATATGAGATCACTGTCCATGGAAATATAACATAATGAACTACAATTCATCTTTAGACATGAAAATGTGAAATTGAAGTTAAGATGGGTAAAAACTGCCACATGTACTGTGCTGTAAAGCTGAATTTTGACAGCTTTGAGCTGCAGTGCTGTAAATAACATAATAAATCACAGAAAAATCATAAAAATATGAGGTAAGTTGCATTAGAAAGCTATAAAAGAATACTTTATTTATTCTCATTGGCTAATTATGAGTCTAAGTGTAGTGAAACATGGGATGAACAGAGGGCTGTACAGGGGAATTGAAAGTAGGATAGTCAAGGTCTAAAACTGTATAACTTGAGATTGGTATATAGTTTGTTAATGATACTTGAAATGTTTACTCCATGGGCTATATTAAGGCTATTTAGAGCCTCTAAAGGTCTAATGATATTGTTGGTTGGAATTGGATGTTACCGCGTTCGGTTGTTTACATTAAAGCACTGTGAGTTTATATCAAACTTATACTTATATGTAGTATATGTATATGCTTTCTTACTGTAAATTAGTTGAAGAAGGGGTGTGGTACACATATTTACTCTACTCTTGTTGATCGTTCTACTAAATTATTATGATCGATATGGTTTCATTGACGCTAAGTACTTTGTGAGTTGTATGGCTTCTTGATACGTTGATTTGATCTGGTACCGAAATCATACATGTAACCCGTTGATTCCAATTTTTAATTACAAATTTGTAAGGTATGTTATGTACTCATTTCTAGTTTAATTATGAATCAGTTAGTGTTCATTAGACGTATTAAGGATCAGTGAGTCATTATGGTTTTGTTAACTCTATACGTGATATGTTCCGTAAAATTTGAAAGCTAGAGATTAATCGGTTTTGCCTCCTAATTCTTTTGTTAAGATATG